CTGCTCCTGTTGCAGCCATCTCCAGCCACCATGCCTCCCTGCCATGATGGACTATAATTCCCCTGGAACTGTAAGCGCAAATACACTCTTCCTTCTATAAATTGGTTTAGTCAGTGTTTCTATCACAGCAACAGAAAAGTGACTAATACAGATGTTTTGTATGAAATGCACAAAAAAACCAATAAAAATATACAAAAAAAATAATCCAGACAGGATGGTGGTATTTGCAATCCTGGCAAGTGGAGAGGCTAATAAGCTTAGTGGGATAGCTAAGCTCAAGGCCAGTGTGTGACCATTTCAAAAAGTCAAGATGGAGAAAGGCTGAGGAAGAGACCTGAGACGGAACTCTGGCTTCCATACTCACACATATGCACATGTACCCACACATATACTTATACCCTGTCTGTACATGTGAACATATATACACACATACACAAAATTAACAGGTATTCTAAGAAAACGCAATGTTTAGTTGCTGAGAAAAATACAGGAAACAGCAACCACAGCCATGGGAACATACAAATACAAACCTTGCAGAAAGCTGCTCAAGAAAACCTATAAAGACCTTTAAAATGTATTTATGTTTGACCTAAGATTATATTTATAAGAAACTTCCCTAACAAAAGTAGAACTGTAACAAAAGCATAATAAACAAAAAACATCTGAGTAAATAAATAAATAAAAATAAAGTTGTATATTTCAAAAGAACTAAATATCTTACTTTTATTATGGATTGAATCGACAATTATGATTACAGAAGAAATTGAGTCACCCTTGTTCTGAAGAGGGGACATGTTAGATATTTGTCAGTAAAACAAAATGCCTGACATAGTCATCTTCTAAAGAAGAAAGGTTTTGTTTTTTGTTTGTTTGTTTTGTGACTCAAGGTACCAGAATTGGGCATGTAGGAAAGATATCCTAGTAAGGGGCCATGTGATAGAACATTGTTACCTTATGGTATATAGGTAGTGAAAGAAAACATGGTCTAAATTTCTCTCACTGGGACCAAACTGTTAAAGACTTCAAAGTCTTCGAGAACACTGTGCTGAGAACCAGGCTGTAGCTACATGGGTCGGGAGGCTGGGGGCAAGGGGCGTAAGTATCCCAGATCTCAGTCATAGTTGGAGGGGATGCTACAGAGCTTTGTTTGGTTAACAATTAAGGTTAGGTATGTGGCCCGGACATAGGCATCATTTCACTAAGTTTTCTGTATGAAAAAGAAGCAAATCAAAGAAGAGAAAAATACTGATGAGGAAAAGTTATTTAAATTAGCTTTTTCCCCTCAAATTAGTTGCATGTCCTACAATTAATTCAGTTTATTTCTATGATCTCCCTAATTTTGTATTTTGACTGCCTCATAGAACAGAAACAAAATATACATGTGAGGATCTGACTAAACTAATTCTCAAATGCTGTTAGCCACTGGAACCCTAAACTATAAGACAAGACAATTTACATTTATCATTGTAAATGTTCTATTTAGTAATACTGTGTCTTGATGTCAGATTTAATTTTACTTACAAGTTGACCCCCTTGGGTAATAAAACTCGAAGATGTCTGGGACTTATTTTACTCATATGAACATCCCTAGGTATTAGTAAATGAAATTAAGTTCAATAAAGTTTAGTTTGAATCCAAGACCACTTTAAATGTGCTCTTGGATTATGTGAATATCTGTTGATGAAAAGTTACTAGAAATTCTATGCTTAGTTTTACCAAGTGAGACAAAATCTTCTTTATAAATCCGGCAGATTACACTTAAGATTTTATGTCACTAACCTTTAAAACGCTTATCTCTATATAACTAAACTCATGGTTATTTTTAAATATGGCTCATGTAAAATTCGAGAGGTGGAAATGAACTTGAGCCTTATCAGTTTTTACTGGCTTTTTATCTCTTATTGATGTTGAAATCCTTTTGTATATTTTCTGATTGGTACAATTAATAAGGAAGTTAGAAATATCCCATTTGTGGCCTAATTTGATCCAATTTAACTATCTTTCTAATTTAAATTCTGCTGCCCTGGTGTGTTTGGCAAATGTAATCCCCTGACTTACATCCTTATCACTGCTGTATTTATATATTTGTTATGTATTTGTTTGTGGAATAAAAATCAATCTCTGCTGTAGAATTGAAATGTGGACTATCACCACGTTAGGCATAAAGCAGGATTCGCCTAACACTCAGCCATAGTAATCAATATCCACTCTGAGCTAAACTTTAACAGCAGCAATTCCTCAGGAGCCCAAAGCCAAGTCCACTGGTCATTTTCTGCTTTCCCTACTGACCTTTTAGGACATCTTCTTCTTCTGATGGAATCATTTTCCATCACATGAAAAGACAATAGTGTAATGTAAAATGGTGATGGGCAAAAGCAAGGGCTCAGGCTGGAGTGCCCTTGGCAGTTTCAATAAATTCTTCCTTTGGATTTAGAAAGAAGTGAGGCTGTTAAAAAATTTGAAACTCCTTTAGCACATTTCAAAACTGTCTGGTTTACCTACTGGTGAGGATCTAGATTGAAAAGAGCAGAATGTAGAATAAGGTATCATTTTAAATAAAATGCTGCTTCAATTATTTTTTAAAATATTTTATTATTTTTATTTTATGTGTATGAGTGTATTGCCTGAATGTATGTGAGTGCACCCGTGTCGTGCAGTGCCTCAGAGGTCAGAAGAGGACATCAGAGTTCCCTGAAACTGGAGTTAAGGACGGTTCATAGCCGCCATGTGGATGCTGGGAATCGAACCCGGGTCCTCTGCAAGAGCAGTCAGTGCTCTTAACTGATGAGCCATCTCTCCAGCCCCTCAATTATTTTTTGAAAAATAAAAACCATTTATCATTAAACTGTTTTTCCATTGTTATAACTGTATATATGGGGTTTCTTCTCCCCAGTTTATCTTGGCCACATAGAACTAGTACTAGGTTGGGTCCTATGGAATGTGGTCTTCCTTGCAATGATATGATGACAAAAAAAAAAAACACATTATATTGAACTAAGTCAGACTTGATATGTCCAAATTCTGTAGCTTACTACCAATATAACCTCAAGCAGCTTATCCTGTCTTCTCGAATTCTTAGTTAATTCAATCTAAATTAGAAAAAAGAATTAATGTGCACTCACCTCTAGGGTACTGAAATGGGGTATCCCAGGCACAGTGCTTGACCTTTAGTATATCTGCAATATCCTGTATCTTGGGTGCAAGTCTATGGGGGGAAAATTGGCATCAAGGAATTTAAGTATGTTTATTTAAATAAAAATGTCATCATCACAATGTAAAACAAAACTAGAACACTTTTGTGCCAATAATGAAAAATACTTTGCATAATTGGTATAACTGGTATAAAAGTAACCAAGCAGCTTTAGTAAAGTATCACCATTAAATTGAATATAGTTCTCCCATAATTTATTCTTTCCTCGCACACTTCTTTGGGAATCACTAATGTCTTATTTCCGCTGGTTTAGCTGCTATTGCACTTCCAACTGTTGTTTCAATTGACACTTGGCTGTTAAACATGTGACTTAGCCTTTTAAAGCAATGATAAGATTCCCTTCCCAAAAGTAATTTTTGGAATAGGTGACACCTGAGTGTGGCTTAGAACCTGTGGGGGGGGGGGGGATGGCCTGTTGGTGAGAGGTAGAGATAAGTATTGTGACAAAAAACAGCAAGCCAGATTGACTTCCCAACCCCTCCTATTTTTTTCAAGTTTTACCTAGAGATATCCTCTGATTTAAAAAGTCAGACTTCACCATTTATCTCTAAATGAATAATATCTATGGCTATTTGATCAGAGATGTGTGACAAAATATGACGTGATGCAGCGGTAATCAAGTCATTACTCAACAGCTTATCTGTGATCTACCTATCATCTATGTATCTATCAACTATCATCTATGTATTTTCTATCATGTATCTATCATCTCTCACCTATCAGTCTACCCATGTACATCACATGTGTGTTTACTTCAGTGTCAAATTTCTCCAAAGAATACACACTAAGATGAATCAAGCTCATATGACTATTTCTCCTCCCTATGGGTGTCAAGAGGAAGACAGGCAGACTGCTCATACTGCTTCCCCTCAGGGCATGGCAGGCCACTTTGTGACTACTTGGCAGCACTTGAGGCATTTATAGAGGTGTTATTTGAGGCGTCATTGTCAAAAGAACCTGGGCTACTTTTTGCAACCTTTGAGAACTGCATTTGTATTCCCAGGGAAACTCTGAGTTAGTGTGATTGACCTTATATATGTCTAGAATAGGCCCGCAAACATGAGCCAAGGACTGAGCTAGTATTGACTGGGGATCAAACTGGCTTCTGTGGAAAGGTGAGGGAAGAGTAGGGTTTTAGAAGCATAAGACAGCCGAAGCCTTTTTCTGAAGGGTCTTTACTGCGGCTTCTATGAGGAATGGGCCTCCCTTCTCTGCTTGAACACTTCAGGTGTCAGGAGAGGGATGGACAGCTCATCCTGGACACTCTGTAACTCGTAATCAGAATAGCATTATTATGAGAAAAGAAGAAGGAGACTTGGGTTTGGTCTTGCCATGTCTGTTCCCATGACCTTGAATAAATACTTCACCTCTGTGGGTGTTTCCCTCTCCAAACATTGTGTGTATGCTATAGAAGTTTTCTGTAAAGGCCAAATAAAAGAGTAGATGAGTCATACATTTTTCTACTTTGGATGTTTATTCTAAATGTAACGTACTACTGACATTAGCATTTTATCAGTTGCTAATTGTTGAAGGAATGAATGATTTATTCCTCTCACCCACCCCTCTCCTCACTCAAGGGGGTGAGAAAAGACTCCTCAAACTTAGCTTTGAAAATTGGTCCTTGGTGTCAGGATGAGACTATAAGCACATATACTTTGTCAGTGCAATCCCAGGCACAGTCTCCCTTGAGTATTTGGGAGATGCATGCATCCATTCGACATTATTCTAAAAATCAGATATTCAGCATTAGAGGTGACAAGTACTGACCTTCTACCTCTATCTCTTCCAGGAATTTCTACTACATCACAATGTTGAGGGATCCAGTGTCACGTTACCTGAGTGAATGGAAGCATGTCCAGAGAGGAGCCACGTGGAAAACCTCTCTCCATATGTGTGATGGAAGAAGTCCCACCCCTGATGAGCTGCCGACTTGCTATCCTGGGGATGACTGGTCTGGGGTCAGCTTGCGGGAATTCATGGATTGCAGCTACAATCTAGCCAACAACCGCCAGGTGCGTATGCTGGCTGACCTCAGCCTGGTAGGCTGCTACAACTTGACTTTCATGAACGAAAGTGAGAGGAACACCATCCTGCTGCAGAGTGCTAAGAACAACTTGAAGAACATGGCTTTCTTTGGGCTCACCGAATTCCAGAGGAAGACACAGTTTCTCTTTGAGAGGACATTCAACCTCAAGTTCATCTCCCCCTTCACGCAGTTCAACATCACCCGGGCTTCCAATGTGGAGATCAATGAGGGAGCCCGCCAGCGTATTGAGGAGTTGAACTTCCTGGACATGCAGCTTTATGAATATGCTAAAGATCTCTTCCAGCAGCGCTACCATCACACCAAACAACTAGAGCATGAGAGGGACCGCCAAAAGCGGCGTGAGGAGCGGAGGCTGCAGCGGGAGCACAAGGCCCATCGGTGGCCCAAAGAGGATGGGGCCGCAGAGGGGACTGTCACTGAAGACTACAACAGCCAAGTGGTGAGATGGTGACCCGCTGCCCACTCCTCTTTGATGAGGGGCTAATGAGCAGGCGTCTTGACCTTCTGACCTCTTGGAGAAGTTGGGCCATGCTGAGGACCTCTGGCTGTGTGGCTTGATTTGGACATCTGCTTCCTCTTTGTCTTCATATTTGACATAGGTTTGCTGTGTTTCTCCACAAAAGGGCACAGCTGTTAGGAAGGCAACTAATTTAGTTACTCTATCTGTTTGCTCTCTTCCCGGTCTCCAGGGCCTAGAGGTAGTAATGACTTTCTGCCATTGTTAATCCCAGAGCCCTTTTTTTTTTTTTTTTTTTTTTTTTTTTTCCTTGACATTTTCTGATCAGCGATATTAAGTAGGGTAGGAATGAATCCACCAGACCTCTTTAGATGGTCAGGAGGGGCAGCAGAACACAGAGAGTTTGTGGGATCTTTGCAGCTTCCATGGGGACAGTTTGAGTACCTGGAACCCACAGAGGCACACAGGAAAAGCCAAACTATGGCTTGGATACCTTGTTGAATCTAGCCTGTTTCACCCAATAGAAACATTGATCTGTTTAAACAGAAAGAGAAAGAAACCCTTCTGCCCTTAGATAAGAGATTATCCCAGCTCTCACCTGCTGTTGAATTTTGAAACTGTTCAAATGAGGTTTAAATCATGAGTAATGTGGTTTGTTCCTGCCATTGTTTTCAGACAAAATTACTGTAATCTGGACCATAGCTAGAGACCCTATCCTACAAACTCCAACATCAGTGTCCTGAGCTATATGTCTATCCCATCTTTTAGGGAACACAGGACAGGGTTGGTTGCGGCCCTGATAAATGAAAATTGGTGAGACATTTAGGGAAAATGCTTATTTTATAATGACTAAGGAGATTACATTTTACCTGTGTTAATCTTCCAGATGAAGAATGATTGAAAAAATAAGACAGAGAAAAGGAAACAGGAGAAAAATATCATTTCTAGCATTTCAAACCAGCTATAGAATTTTGGTTGTTAAAAGAATTTATCAGACTTTTATCATTGGGAAATAGCCATTTAATCTGTGAGGTTTAAATTATGCTACCACAAAAGTAAAGATGTTTTCAGAGAACTTGGCTTAAAGACAAGGAGCAGGGCTAATGCATATGTAAAACACATTTTAGGTCAGTAAATGAATGATAACTGATTAGGACCAGGAGATGCAAAGCAGCATCCATTGGATGGTTACATCAGGGGTTCAGATGGACGCTGCACCCAACATTCAAATTTCTCTAACCTGACGACTTCTCACATCATCATTACTTCTTCTTAGACTGTGACTGCAACTAGAGAATCAGGCTTCAGGATATGAAACTGGACCAAAAATGCATTACATTGTCCAAGGCTCCTTACTTTTGCCCTTTCCCCATCACAATTATAATCACACAAAAGTTCTTGACTTATATGGAAAGGAATATGAAAAAGGGAGTAGAAAGCCTTTGCCTCATATCCAGTTGGAAGATCAGAGTAGGAGGAGGTTTCACAACACATTGATACAATCAGTCCCTTCAAGGAGCTGAAAGCAAAGGAAAGAGACCTCTAACCCAGACTGGAAAGCCTGTTTCATTGATGCCCAACATGTCTGATGTTTAAGCCAGCTTTAGATAAGCCACTTCTCAGCCTTCAGAATGTTCTCTCTAGGGTTGAGGACCACCAACCCTCCACATTTATGGAGTGCCTTCTGCAAAGCAGAACACAGCATCTCCTGTAAAAGCCATTGGAGAAGTGGCTTGAATATGTCTCTCACAGTCCTTAGCCTTAACTGTACTACAGGAGATGACATCATTGTGTAGTCTCTTTGTGCCACTGAGAAAAACCCTATGATATATCCTAAATATAATCTACATAACAAGGTGGATATTGCTAGTCTTCATTTAAGAGTGAAAAAATGAAGCCTTTAAATGGTATTTGTAGGCCTAGCTGTCTACAAAGCACAAAGTTTTTTACTGCTTAATACTGTCCAAGTAGGTTAAATTTTCCTGCCAATCAGGTAAGAAGCCAGTTATTACTGCCCTGAAATATTTGCCCCTTATCTGTAGAATTGGCCTGCATGTGGCAGCACTATGTGTTTCTATAATGACCCAGATCCCTGCTTCCTAGGGGTAAAACCCCTCCACATTACTGGCCTATAAGTGGGCTGAGAGATCAAGGACTTACTTCTTTGTAATATTTGAGCTACACACAGAAAGTGAATTAAAAGGGGCCAAGCAAATACAGCTTGTCAGTTGGTGATGATGAGGTCTCACAAAATATTCACATCCCTCTTTCTGATTTGTTCTTGTGGTGGGGAGGGAAGGATAAGGGGCAGCAGGCATGGGCGAACAGCTCCTTCTCTATCCTCACATCCTGTTATTAAGATCTACTGTTTTGCCAGGAATAGAAACCTGAAAATTGTGTCTGCCTGCCACTGTGATGCACGTGTACGCATGTGCACATACACAAACATACACACAGCCCAGTGTTTTTTCATGTGGAAAATCAAAGCAAGCTAGAAAGCATCAGATTGTTTCCTTTAAACTCACTTTACATTTTTGGCAGGGAATCCGTGCATAGCTAGGACTTGGAGGCAGCCACTGCTAACTTCACACTATTTCTCTGGCACCTTAGGGTTTATATCAAAAGGCTTTCTGCTGCCTCAGTGCTGAGGGCATGACGTATAGTCCTTCACTCGAGACCAGATAGCAGGATGTGCAGAGGAGAAACCATCTCTGTGTTGGCCCTAGGCCAGTGCTGCGTGAATTAGAAAGACTGACATGGGCTTCCTCTCTTATCGTTCCATTTGGAAGCAGCAAACTTGTCGTATCCCTGGGGTCCTGTGTTGACAGAAATGGAGAGGGGGATGCAGGGTGTTCTCTGAAAATTGACTGCACAGCTATATGCTGGGTGACGCTGAGGGAAAAGATGCTAGTGGAAGGCACAGGAGGCTAAGGAGGGAGGGGAAGGTGTCAGACTCAAGGTCCCAGATCAAATCACCTCCAGCTACATTCATGTCCAAAGCCCAAGAAGAGGACAAAGCAGTCCCTAGCACTCCTCCAGCTCTCAGGCAGAGACTCCCTCTCTTCTCTTAGCAGCCCTAGGAAATAGACTGGGCTGTATGTGTCCTATATATGTGTTCACTCTGCTAAGATACACACAATTTTTTGTCTCCTTCCAATTTCCTGGCAGCCTGCTCTTAATAACTGGAGAATATAAGTGGAATAGCTAAACTTAATCAAAGGTTTTAAATGCAAACATTCATTTGATTAGATCATTAAAGCAATAGTTTCCAAATTGTGAATGGAGAGAGTTTTAATACTCTTGTGCTCTCGTTTTAAAACACAGTACCCATCTCTGGCTCAAGCTGGCTGCCACAGTTCCTGCTGTCTTTTTTCATCTAAGATAGTCGTGAAGAAGTGGAGAGAAATTGACTAGAGCTTATATATTAGCCACATCTAGCTGCAGAGAAAACTAGAAAATATCTCTATTATTCACTGCCAGGTGCCTTCTTAAGTGTGAGGGCTTTTTTGTTAAGGAAACAATGGAAAATTAATACTGATTAAAAATTATCAGACCCTGATGCAAAAAGAAATTGAAAAATATTTCAAGTACTTTTCAATGTCATTTATTTCCTCATCAGTTTTACAAAGGATGAGATTAAGATTCACCACTCTCTACAGCATTTAATGCCTTATTTATTATTTTTCTTTTATGTGCATTGCCTGCATGTATGTAAGTTCACCAGTGTCATGAAAGGCTCTTGGAGGTCAGAAGAGTGTGTCAAATCTCCTGGAACTGGAGTTACAGATGGTTATTAGCCACCATGTGGGTGCTAGGAATCAAACCTGGGTCCTCTACAAGAGCAGTCAGTGCTCTTAACCACTGAGCCACCTCATCAGCCCCACATTTAATGCTTCCAAAACATTTTTATGTGTAACATCTCATTTGGCCTGCTTTATATCCTTATATAGCAAAAGACATTTCTGTTCTCTATTACATTTGATAATTGGGAATGGGGATTCAGAGATGTTGAAGATTTTCCCCAAATTCTCATTCATTAGCAAGAAAGTTACTCAAAGTCCTGGTTTTTCAACTTCAGGGCTTTTCCTACTACTGTGTGTTGCTCAGCATCACTACTGGGATTGGGAATTGCAAGAATATGAAATCTAAATCTTTATTGATTTCTATCTTCTTTCAACTTGTTATGGAGCTGCAGTGACCTAGAAAATGCCAAGGACTAGTCCAGTTGACTCTCATTCTGCCCCCAGCAAAGAGGCCTCTTACTAGAAGGAAATGCTCAGATAGACAGTGTTACAAGGGAAACTGGGAAGCATGTGAATCCAGAAGAGGCATTCGAATACCTCTAGCTCGATGTTGACCCCATTCCACCCCAAAACAACTCAAGATGGAGCCTGGGGGAATAAGCTCATACCACCAGAGGGACATTTAGTATTCAAGATATTCAGAATCATTTGCTGCCTGTTAGGAAAGCTTACAGGGAGATCAATAGGGGTGATCAATAGGACCCTAGCTCACAAAATGCCTCCCTTTGTCTGCTTCTTCCTCAAGTCCCTGGTATTTTATCAGCAACACATTGCTTTAGTTCTTATGTATTTTATTTGGCATTAAAATAAATGAGTTCCTTTGCTTATTGCTGGAGAGAGGAAATGCTTTAAGTTTCCATAAATAATTTCACCAAATTTATCTGATTCCTTCATAGCCATGTCATCCGGCTGAGAAGATGATCATGTAAAATGTAATCAAGCAGAGATGGAGGGCTAGAGCAGTGATAGAAGAGGCTCAGAGAGGCAGCTAGTCCAAAGAGAGAAAAACGATTAAAACATGTGCCAGGCCGTACTGAAATACAGAAAGATGATGAGGATGCAGTTTCTGTCCCTAAGATCAAGAGCAGCCTGGAAGTATGTGAATGAAATTTCTTCTAGCCATTTAAAAGAACAGAACAGGGATAAGATCCTTGAGGGATAAGATCCTTGAGGCAGAATCAGAACCTTGGAGTGGCTTATGGGCTAGTACTAAGGTGAAAGAACTGTATCAAAGAGAAAGCTGAATTGGACTTAGGCAGGAATATTCAGATCAACAGCTGTGACTCTAGGTTTTCCTTTCCCATTGTTTTTGTGTCTCTACTGGTCAC